GGATGCATGTTTAATTTTCATGGATTGTGGTCGTGAGGGTGGGTTGTGATATAATTATGCATATGAAATATTGTGAATATTAGGTGGAAAAAAAGCTTGGAAAACAAAGGAGGTTATGTCGAATTTTTATGAAAAATTAAAAGACTTGTTAAGTGTGTAAAACACCTTTTAAATAGGTGGGAAGGATGTCAAAAGGGGGGAGGTTAGAAACCTTGAAGAAATAGACTAAAAATGGAATAAAAGTGGCTTGAAAAATTTTGGAAAAACGTAAAAAATGAATGATAAACTAATTTATCCAACCTAATAACCTTTCATTTACTTTTCTTCTTCATTTTCACTCACTCCCCAGGTTTATGGAAATTCGAGGCGTGACAACTTAATATCAGAGTTTAGGGATTAGATCTTACATGAGAGTTGTAGGAAAATGGGTACACTAATATTGGAGATAGTTAGGAGACATGTGTGTTGACAAAGAAATTATTTTTATGTCATGAATTTTGGATGTCATAGAGAGTATTAGTATATTTTGGCTGATAATGTATGAAAGTAAAAAGGTTTCGAGGTATGATGATTTATGATGTTATAACTTTTTTAGGTTATATCAATTTTCATTATTTTGCTTGGCCCTTAGTTACTTTAATTTGTGAAGTCAAAGATGTGTGTTGTAATTCAATTTTGTTGCTTGGAGATAAGGTCAACTGTGGCGTCCTTTATATAATTTTGGTTATGTGAAGTTATTGGAATTGATAGAGATGTTACGAATTGCAAAAAGATTGAAAATTTTGATTTTATGGTGAAAATTTTGAGTTGGATATGTCTTCCATTAGGGTGACGAAGAGACTATAAAATAGTACAATGTTCAAATACAATCAATTGGAGGGGAATGGTAAAATGAACAAGTATTTGTGTCGATTTTGGAATAAAAGTACAAATTGTGATTTTGCTTTTGAGTGGATTGGAGGTTGTTATATGACCATTTATTTGAGGTTATTAATAGTGGTTTGAAATTAGTATGAGTAGTTGGCTAGTGTTGCTTTAGGTAAAAAAAAAATTTAATGTTAAGTGATGACTTAATTTTTGTACAATTGGGTTTTAAGAATTATTCTGAAAGAATATGATTGAAAGATCGTGGTGCAATAATTGATGAATTATATTAGATGACTTTGCTTGAAAATTGATTGAGAATGACATGGTAAGCCTTTGAAGGGAAAGAAATATGGAGTAAGAAAATTACTTATTACATGAAAAGGTAGGAAGGGCCAGACTACTCAAGGTTGTGTTTATGTAGTGGCCACACTAGAGGCATCTACTTCTGGACCTTCAGTGGTTCGAGGTATATTCCTTGTGTTTTGTTCAGGGGCTAGCATACTGATAGACTCGGGTGCATCTCATTCATTCATGCCTACCATGTTTTCCATGACATTGGGGTTGGACATAGATCGGTTAGATCCACCATTGCATGTTGACAGCCCAGTTGGGGGTAGTGTGATATTGACGAGGGTCTATAGAGATTGCTTGATAGAGATAGTTGATCCAATCCTTTATTTTGATTTCATTCTACTTGACATGTTTTGGTTTTGATATTATTTTGGGGATGGATTGGTTGTTTGTTTTTCGAGTGAGTATAGATTGTTATAGGGGGAGAGTGATAATGTGTACTCTTGAGGGAGATAGCTTTTATTTCACGGGAGATCATGGAGATTTCTCAGTTCCACCCTTGTATGACTCGAGGAGTTAGGGAGGTCATAGTTACATGTTGGCTAGTTTGGTAGTAGATGGGGGTGGGACTACGGAGAGTGTGTTACCACCCGTAATGGATGAGTTTCCAGATGTCTTCTCGGATGACTTGACTAGTCTACCGCCGAGACGAGAGATAGAGTTCACGATAGAGCTTATCCCAGACACTATGCCTATTTCCATTCCACCTTGCCGTATGGCTCTAGCTGAGTTGAGAGAGTTGAAGGAACAGTTGACTGATTTACAGGGTAAGGGTTTTAGTCGTCCTAGTACTTCTCCGTGGGGTGCTTCGGCACTATTTACGAAAAAGAAGGATGAGACATTGCGTTTGTGTGTAGACTATAGAAGGTTGAACAAGGTCACTATCAAGAACAAGTACCCGTTGCCGATGATAAATGACTTGTTTGATCAGCTTAAGGGTTCAAGATGTTTCTCGAAGATTGATTTTAGATCGGGGTATCATCAGTTGAGAGTACTAGAGGAGGATGTGGCGAAGACAACTTTTCGCACTCGTTATGGCCATTATGAGTTCGTGGTTATGCCATTAGGTGTGACAAATGCCCCGACAACATTCATAGACTTGATGCATCACATTTTTAGTAAGAATAAATTTTTTAGTTTTACTGGTAGGTTACTATTCATGCACTATTTGCTGGTAGGATACTACATATGTATCATTTAGATATAAATCATGCTTAAAAACATAATTTGAGTATGTCATAGAAAAGAAACATGCTTAAAATGTTAAAATACACTTACTGTGAGAATTTGATCCTAAACAAAAATAGTTTCAAAAATTAGACAAAAAGAGTATCCTAGGTGGCCTAGGTGGGACCGGCCAAACCTAACCACTAGCGAAAATCTATTTTTTTTTGAAATTTTTATTTAAAATAATTTTTAAATTTTGGTTAAAATAAAATGTCCAATTGAGGTGTTTCGGGACGGGTTGTAGTGTAATGAGGTCCTGGATTCATCAAGGGCAAAAGGGTCATTTTGCACCTTTGCCCCTCCGCTATAAATACAACCCCTTTAGTGTAAAAATATCAGTTTTTGGGCCGGAAAGGTCAGTTCATGTTCTTGCAGGAAAAATGAAGAAAAACCCTAGGTTCTTCAATCTTCTAGCCACCAAAACTCATTTTTAGGACAAGATTCTTGTAAGACTTCTTTCTAAAAAGTTGTTACTCTCAACAAAGACTATATTCTCACTGATCGGTTTGGCTATACAGTGAACACAACTCTCTTGGTTTGAAAAAAACCATTTTAGGTATTATATTTTGTTAAGTTGGGAATATATTTAAGTTTTCTTGTCTTCCTATGTGTTGATTGGACGATTTAGGTGTTTACTTGATGTTAGAAAATCATTAGTTGGTAGTTGCTTTGAAAACTTAAAATTAGTGGTTTAAGTACTTTTGTATTTTTTGAGTTTCTTGACAATTTTTGCTATGGTAAATGTGTATATTGCTTATGTGTTGGATTATTATATTCTAGCTCATGTTCATGTAGAAAAACTCTTGTGTTTTGAGAGTTATGATTTATTACATGAGTTGATAGTTTGTGTATTTGTAGTTTCTTTGAGAAATTGTGAATGTAATGAATATGAAGCTTGATCATATGTTTAATCCATTGAATGGTGCTTCACATTCATGTAGATAAGGTGTTTGATGAAATGTTTCATAACATTCATATTGAGGAAAATCAAGGCATCTTGGCATATATGAATCCATGGAACATAGTGTGGGTTGAGCACTTGGTGCTATACATTATGAGCATGTAGATCCTGTGGTGAAAAACCCAAAATCTTGCCAATGACAGTACTCGAGGCTGACGGGGGCGGATCGTGAAGCGAGACATGAGTGACATAGAGTTGCATGGGTGTGTCATGCATATTGACATTGCATAGCATTGAGGGATTACGAGGTTGTAGCTTTTAAAAATATACACTTGTACATGCCACACCTTAAATTTGTTCCTAACATTAACACTTTGTCATACCAGCAGTTGAGCTGACCCATTCGTGGGATATCATATTATAGATGAGGCTCCTGGTACTTGAGACTTGAGGAAGTCTTAAAGGAAGGAGGGGAAAGAGACTTGAATGAATATTTGGGTGGGCATATTTTGTATATATGGGCATAAGCCTAAATAACTTGTATTTCAATTTGGAAAAGTAATGGATTATAGATCTTGGGTCATTTTAAAGTGTAAGGGTGTAAACCCAATTGATATGTAGAATATCTTTATGTAATGAGTTTCATATGTGTATATTGAGACAACTAGATGTGTATGTTGAAAACAAAAGTTGTATGTTTAATTTACATGGATTGTGGCCACCGAGTGAGGGTGGGTTGTGATATAATTATGCATATGAAATATTGTGAATATTAGGTGGAAAAAAGGCTTGAAAAACAAAGGAAGTTATGTCAAAATTTTATGAAAAATTAAAAGACTTGTTAAGTGTGTAAAACACAGGTGGAAATGATGTCAAAAGGGGGGAGGTTAGAAACCTTGAAGAAATAGACTAAAAATGGAACAAAAGTGGCTTGAAAAACTTTAGAAAAACGTAAAAAATGGATGAGAAACCAATTTATCCAACCTAATGACCTTTCATTTACTTTTCTTCTTCATTTTCACTCACTCCCCAAGTTTGTTGAAATTCGGGGCGTGACATCACTACCAGCCGACACTAGTCCGATGGAAGAACTTGTCATCCAATACTTGCTACCAGGAGCTTCCATTTGAGCTACTACAAGTCCACATCATGCCCACTTCCTCTAAGCAAGTCCTACTCAACTAAGGTACAACCTAAGACCTAGAGTGCTAGTCTAATACCACTTTGAATACCTAGGAGCTGGTGATGAGGCACCAAAGAGTTAGAGTCCAAGTAAAATGCTACTCCAAGCAACCAGGAGCTGGTGATATGACCTGGGACTAAAAGTCCTAATCTAACTCTATCCTATACTTCTAGGACCTGGTGATGAGGTTGAGCCAATATCAACTAGAGTATGGGTTCCTTTGAGACACATCTCTCTACCACTATAAATAAAGGCTTTTAGGTACCAGGTAAGGGATTCAATCTGAGTCTATTCACTCCATACTTTTCTTTGACTTGCGACCTGACTTAAGCATCAGAGTTCATTTGGCCGCCTCCGACCATCGATTCACTTAGGTGTTCTCTTGTCTTGTAAGTTACCTAAGGTTTACTCACCACCTTCTTATTCTATACGAGGTGGTTACTTTTTGTGTGGATTTATTCCCGCACAGTTATGGATGTTGTGGCTGTGAGTGAACACTACAACAAAAAGTTTTTTTTGTGACGATTTTAAATTTGTCGCAAAAGTTTAGTATTAGCGACGCTTTTATATTTTTGTCACAAATTTCTATTTTGGCAAGTTTTTTGCGACGTTTTTTGAAAAACGTCGCGAAAAGGCGATTCCGCCTAATATTTTTTTGGCGGGAGCAACGGCGGGAATTGGCAATTTTTCGCGACAAACATTTGTCGTCGCTATTAGTTTTATATCGTCGCTAAAATAAATAATCTAAAATTTAAAGCAAAATAAAGTCTAAATTTCAATTTTTGACATTTGTTGCGATGTTTTCAGAAACGTCGCCAAAAGGTGACACTCTCCTAATTCTACTGGAAGGGAAAATTGCAGAATTTTTTGTAAATAAAAAATTTAAAAAATAATAATTTAGTTGTCTTTTCGCAACGTTTTTTAAAAACGTCGCAAATAGTAAAATTTTTGTAAATAAAAAAATTAAAAAATAGCAATCTAATTGTTTTTTCGCGACGTTTTTTTGAAAACGTCACCAATAGTAAAATTTTCATAAATAAAAAAATTAAAAATAACAATTCGCGACATTTTAGCAAACGTCGTCAATAGTTTTTTTAAATTAAAAATAACAATCTATTTCATTTTTTGCGACGTTTTTAAAAAATGTCGCAAATAGTAAACTTTTTTGTAAATAAAAAATTAAAAAATAATAATTCATGACATTTTTATAAAATGTCGCAAATAGTATATTTCGTAAATAAAAATTTAAAAAATAGCAATCTAATTGTTGTTTTGCGACGTTTGAAAAAAACGTCGCAAATAGTATACTTTTTCGTAAATAAAAAAATTCAAAAATAACAATCTATTTTTTGTCGACGTTTTTAAAAACGTCGCAAATAGTTAACTTTTTCATAAATAAAAGAATTAAAAAATAACAATCTACTTTTTTTTTCGCAACGGTTTCAAAAAAACGTCGCAACTAGTAAATTTTTTTGTAAATAAAAAATTTAAAAATAACAAACTACTTTTTGGGCAAACGTCGCAAATAGTATACTCTTCTTTCCCCCTCTTTTTTTTCCTCCTGCCAACTACGCCATACATATCTCCCCCATTTCTCTCCGCCAGTGAGCCCTAGAACACCACCAACCATCGAATACAGTCAGCGACGCCATCGAACACTGCTGCCAGCGACACCATCCCTCTTGGGCTTAGGTAACCCCCCTCTTTCTCCATCAATATATTGTTTCTTCCATTGGTCCAATGGTGACCAAGGTCCAGTCCATAATTGCCCACCCATTAATATTGCTTCCATTCAACTTCAGCCTTCATCCCTTACTAATTTTCGAATATTTTCTTTGTTGATTTCCCTCCTACCAAATACCCTTTTTCCCTCATTCTCACTTTCCCCATCTCCCACTATTTGTTTATTTCAGTCGACACACAATACTCTCTCTCCCTCTTTGATTGGGGCTGTGATTAGGAGAAGGCAGTGAAGACGGTCTTCTCTTCTTCTCCAGTCCAGACGACGCACAGGCACAACCAACAACTCCTTAACTTAGCTCTCGAACTCTCCAGTCCAGACGCACAAGCATTTGATTTCGGTCTGTAAGTCTTCTCTTCTTTTCTTTTCTCTCTCTCTCACACACACACACAGAGCGGGATTCAGGATTCAGTCCATTCAATCTTTCTTCTTTCCTTTATTTCCCCATCTCTTAGTCTCTCTTCCTGTCTCAATCTGACACACACATAACACACTCACTCAATTTTGCAAGTTACACACTCACAGCACACACACCTAATTGACAAATATCAACATATATAAACCTAATTGAATTAAATTTGTAATTTTAATTAGGAATTTAGGATACTACTTTGTCCAAATTATGCTTTAATCAAGTGACTTGAAGATCTACTTTGAACTAGTTCGGTTCGTTGGTTGCTTGTGTGAAAATAGTGTCACTTAATCTTTTTATTGTTCATAAATTTTAACTAACTCACGGTTATTGTGATTTGAATCAACCAACGAAGATGTTTCAAAGTTATTAATTTAATGTTATTTTGATAAAGTTAACTTGAAAATTTCCCAGGAGAATTTTTTCAACATATGCAGTAATACTGGAGGTGAGAAATCGACAGTGAAGCCACAAGCCCCGATCAAACTCGAAGCCTTCATCCTCTTTCTCTCAGACCATCGAGAAAGAGCAAAGCAGGACTATGAACAACTGAAGAAAACTGTTGATGAACTGCGGGCATCTGAGCGGGTTGATGTTGACTACAATTTTCGATTTCGGTATAATTACATTCTATGTAAAATATTGTTGTTCAACTTCATCAGAATGTCAAGTTGGTAAAAGAGCTGAAACTATGAATAAAAGAGCTGGAAGGAGCCGTGGGTGAATCCACCAAGGATTTTGATTTGTCTAAGAGGTAAAACAATTCTTTAGTTTTCTCACTGTCCAGCATCTCAGTTACCATTAGCATGGTAATCAAGAAACACATGTTTCACAGAATTTGAAATACTATTTGATATTTTTCCCCTTGTGTAATGAATTGTTAAAATAAATTATAATGAATTTTAATCTTTGATTTACATTTCATTATTGAACTTGGGGCTTTTTTAATATGTCTCTTTGTGTCAATTTTTATTTTCATGTGAATTTTTTTAACTTGAATGTTACAAGAGCTTAGGTAGGAAGCTCTTTCTCAGGTATATGATTTTTTTTTCTTATTTTATCATGACAAGATGATGTTCCGCTAAACTGAATTTTGCAAGTTAGTGTTTGATTGGATTGGATTTAATGATACATATTCTTTATGCATGTCCATTTCTGCTCATATTTATTTATTGATACATATTCTTTGTGATGGAAGTTCTCTGTGGTTTATCAGAATGGGGAAAGGGATGGTGTCTTCTGCTGGTTCTGTGCCTCTTCTACTGTTTCTGCTTGGGCTTCTAGTTCTCTTGTGTTTCCTCTGTTTCCATTGGATGCCATTCAAGGCAAAGCTGCTGTATCATTAGGAACAACACCATTGGGAGAGGAGGGGTTATCTTTCCTGGGCGATCCTCTCTGTCTCTCTTCCTGACCTTTGGACTTCGTTTTTCAGTTTTCCCGATGCATTCAAGTCAGATGATGCTCCTTCATCTGGATATTATTGGGTTGCTCCCCTTCCTCTTTTGCCTTTTGTCTCTTGGTTTATCTCAGCTGAGGTTTTCCTTTTTGGGTTGGATGTATTGCACTTTCATTTATGATCTCTCAGCTGCCCCCTCCCAGCTGGGGGCTCTCTTCTGGCATGCTCCTGGGGATGTTTCTACTGTTTTTGCCTGCCCTCAGCTGCCCCGCTTGTTGCTGCCTACCTCGCCTGGTTCCAACTGACTGTTCAGCTGGTCATTTTGTTGTCCAGCTGGACCCTCAGTTGGTTTTCAGCCGTTTCTCGTCTTCTGGGTTGCTGATGGGTCCTCCTCCCTCCATGAAGATTTCTTCTCCCCTTTCTTCTTGTCTTGCAGGATTAAAGCCATTTCTGGCTTGGTCCCCTTTTGTTGCTTGTTGGTTCTTTGCTTCTTGTAATTATTCCTTTCATATATTTCATATTTTTCATTTTCTTTAAAAAAAAAAAATATGGTTCTGCACTGTTAACTACTTGCACAGTGCACTGTTAACTATTATGTTATTTGTGTTACGTATATGGTCCAGAGTGCCTCAGATAGTAGCAATTGTTATAGGTGTAGATGTTGCTGATGGTAAAGGATAAGGTACCACTTGTACTAGAAGCATTATAGGTGTAGATTTTACACTCATAAACAAAAGTCTCTTGACAGTGGTCCATGTAGGAATTTTTTTTGTTGTATTTACATATGCTATGTTCCTTGGATTTTGATTGCTCTTCATACAACTATACTATCAAATTTTTGAAGCCTTTTTTGAGGCTTTTGGCAATACAATTTATGCCCCAAGGTTGTGACTTGTGAGCCTCTGCCTCCTTTAGGAAAATTTTTTGTTGCTATAATTGCTCAATTAATCAATTTTACTAATCTTTAAAACAGGTCTGTAGTCATATTTTGTATAAAAGTAGTTCAAAGTATCACTTAAAGTGATGCCTTTTTTATGTGTTTATTTCCTTTAACAGGGTGTGGAAACATGTTGTTGAGCTATACAACATTTGTCACAGTAAAATGGAGGAAATTGTTCCAAAGGGCGTCACGGTGAGGTATGCACTAAATATTCAGCATACCTATTCTGGTTTTGAGTCATTATTTTCTAATTCACGTCACTTCAACATTGTCTTATATTTAAACCCCTCCCCCTACAATATTCTTACTGAATACATTAGTCTTACACTGTTCATGCCACTTGGGCTATTTCATCTAATTTCTTGGTTCCAACTTGGGGTTCTAGGATGCAATGGATTTCTTTGCTGCTGGGGTGGTTTGAAAGCTGCCTGTTTCTGAGGTGCTGATCCTCTTAGCTGATCCATGTTTTTTGGGATTGAATGATGGTGGCTGCTGCATATTTTGGACCAAGTTTATATGATTTTCTAAAGAGAAATAGATACTGCCCATTTCCTGTGGATCTTGTTCGGGAATTTGGACGTCAACTTTTGGAATCTGTAGCATGTATGTGGATTAATCTTGGCCTTGAATTATATCTCGATTTTCGTATTCTTTTCCTTTTCTGATCAATTTTTTGGGATTTGTTTTTTGGCATGTTCTTTTTGTCCAGGGTGTAGCAGCAGATGTATAATTGTGAGATTTCTTGTTTAACATTTTTTTATGATTTGTCATATCCAACAGATATGCATGATTTACGGTTAATTCACACTGACCTGAACCCTGAAAATATACTGGACTGTGTTTTTTGAATGGGCTTTAGTCTAGACTTGATCCATGTGTTTGAGGTATTCTGGTTGCTTGATTTGTATGCTTCCATAAAAAATCGAACAGTAAATAAACTAGGAGGAGGTAGAAAACCTCTTACGAGTAGCATTGATCCCCCGTTGATCATGTTGCCGTAAAAGTCTGATAGAGAAAGGCATATCACCTTGATACAATCCTGTTAAAGTATGTTCTATCCAACTTTTTAATAGAGTATTTCATTTTTTCTGTTTTGCCATTTATTCTTGGTTCATGTATTATGTTCTTAGGTTTTTTTTTAAAAAAAATTAGTTGTGGTAATATATTATCGCTATATTTTTTAGGCTAAGCTTCTGATTACTTCATGTTCAATGTCAAAGTTTCGTTTAAATTCACAACTGAAATGTCTTTCTTATGTGTCATATCTTAGGTGAACTGTGTTGTAATGCGTGGATTCAATGACGATGAAATCTGTGATTTCGTAGATCCAAGTAAGGCTTGGTACACAACCCATTTCACATGTGAAAGCTGAAATCATATGTTTTTGCATTCATGCTGTGTGGATTGCTAATCATTTGCTGTTGATGCAACAACCTATATTGTACTGGCATCTGCATAGTTCTCTCTTCATGCTTATGTTTGTTTTCTTTGTTGTGATTTTGTGGCATTTTGTGGGCAATCAATAACATAGTTTGTGGTCTTTTCTGCATGATTGTAGCGAGTGCATGTCTTATTTCGGCTTGGGATCACTTTCAGTTTTTTTTCTCTTAATTCTCTTCAATTATAGATGACGTATTGGTCAATGATAAGTGATCTACCATTAACAAAAATGAAGAAAATGCAGCAGTAGGGGTAATCATAGAAACAAATGATGAAAAGATTGTTGAGGTAAGTTGCTCAGTTCTGAAATTGTGATATTGGCTAGCACTGCACTGATTTTTCTCTTAGTTTATCCAAACTACTTTATCAACACTTGTTTCCATTGTAAATGATTCATCTCTCATTCAATACTCTTATTTTGCTTTTATTAATTTTTCAGAAAGTGGTATTATGCCATTGGATGGATGGTTAGTTTTGCATCAGCATCAGTCCAGGATCCCTATTGCTCGGAGGAGGAAGGTTGTGTGTGGTGGTCAGTTTGATTATGTAGATCCTGGACGGATAATGTTGAGCTTTGACATGATATTTCAACGCATGGAGCTGGACTGTTGGAGCTGTTCAAGTTTAAGAGAAATTAAATGTAATTAGAGATGGTTTAAATCCTCTTGAAGGATTAAAGCAATTTTTTCTATTTTTAGGACTTTTTGTTCTTTGATTCTTGTAATTCATTCTTTTTGGAAATAAAATTTTATTTTCTTTTTAAAAAGATGTTAAATGTATTAATTATGTTAGTTTTTATTAAACACATGAATTATTGGTGTACATGCGAAAAATTTTATTGGAAAAATGATTTTTTTATATAAAATGAAAAAAAAAACTTTTTTGTGACGAAATAAAAATCATCGCGAAAATTGAAGTACCAACCTTTTTTGCGACGAATTTTTTACATCGCAAATATATTTATTTATTTTTTCAATTATTTTTTTTTTCGTCGCTAAAAATTAATTAAATTATGTTTACTTTTTTATTAAAATAATATTTGCGATGACTTTTTTTACATCGCAAAAAATTAATTTAATTATTATTTTTTATATTTTTAATTTATTTAAAAATTATTCGCGACGCTGTTTTTACGTCGCAAAAACTTAATTAAATTATTATATTAACCATTTTTATTTATGTAAAAATTTTTTTGCGATGATTTATTAACGTCGTAAAAAATTATTTTAATTAATATTTTTATTAAAAAATTTTGGGTGACGATTTATTTACCTCGCAAAAAATTAATTAAATTATTATTTTAATATTTTTATGTTGGGAGAATAGGTTTTAGCTACGTTTTTTTAACTTTTCACGACGTTTTTTTATCGTGGCAAAAGACTTTCTACGAAGAGTCTATTGCGATGAAGACGCGACGAAAATAAATCGTCGCAAAAAGCATTTTGCGACAATTTCTTTTAATTTAGTGACGAAAAAAATTGTCGCAAAAAACGAATTTTTTTGTAGTGGAAGGTAGATGTTACTTCGGATGTTGTGGTTGTAGGCGGTTATCACGGGTGCTTGATCTGGTTTCCATCTCTATCTGTTGGATGTTGGTCGAATTGGGTTATACTTCTTGGTTTTTATGTTTGAAGTATGATTTGGTTTGAGATATACGATGAGGATGTGCAGATTGAATGTATTGCGAAACAAGGGGGTGGCAGTGGTGTGATTTAGTGTAAGTGGGGGTTGAATGATTACTGATGGTGGTGGTTGTGATGGTATTGCATTGGGATAGTGGTGGTGCACACTAGTGGGCATGGTGCTAAGCAGTGGAGTTGTTCATGCACAAATGAAGAGCCACGTGCAAATGATGAAAAATGAGGAAGAAAGGAGTATGAACATTAATGCCATTTCATAGTAGTCGTTAACAGTGTTAGTGATGCTGATTGGTCAAAAACTATAAGGGGGTTCATCTGTTGATTTTCAAACCATAGGGGGGCACGTGCAAAAGGCCAAACCCTCAGGGGGAGTAAACTGAATTTTGTCCTATTTTTAATTAGGAAGACCCTGTATTGATACTATCACAAAAACTTTGTTCGTAAAATTCAAAAATTATTTTTTATTTATTATTAGGAAATTTAATGTGTGACAATTTCACAAATCACATATTTGTCCATCTGAACAATATCTCACATTATTAAATGTATAATGTCATGCTATTATGCTTTTTGAATACATTAATTAAATATCCTTTATATAAAAAAATAAGTTTTGAAAACTTACAAGGACATAAAATTCTTGAAACCCTAAAAGGGGAATAGGGTAGTTTTGAAAATGTGAAAGGGGGGAATGTAGGGGTGTGAGAGAGAGAGAGAGAGAGAGAGAGAGAGAGAGTCTGGCAACTTGATTTAATGTGTTGTTGGGGAGCAGAAGTAGGGGTGTTCAAATTTCCGTTTAGCCGCAATTTTTGACCCTACTTGACTTTATCCGACCCTATTGAATGACTAGCCAATTAAATCTGGTAGGAATGCAGAATATCCATTAATTTCCGTATTCCTACCCTATCTTATCTGTATTAATTAATTAATGTGTATATATATATAAACTAAAAACCCAAATTCCCTAACCCTATCGTCTGAGCTCTTCAGTCTTTCATCGCCTCCAGCGCCTTGGGCTTTCATCGCCTCTCCAGCCTCGCCAGTGGCCTCTCCCAGGTACTCTCTCTGTCTCTATCTCTCTCTTTGTCTCTATCTCAGTTGACTATTTGGGCGCAATTTGACTGTTTGGGTGTGATTTGGAGAGAAGGGTCAGCATGAGAAGGGTGAAAAATAGAGGGATTAAACTTGTTGTTTTTGGTGTTTTTCCTTATGGATTAAACTTGATGTTTGTAACTTTGGTAAATTGGTCTTGTAGTGTAAGAATTTGTTCCATCTGATTTCTCCATTTCAATCACCTGTTTTTCTTCTTAAATTACATACATGTGTGTGTAATTTGTATTGAAGGTCTCATTAAATTACATACCTATGTGTGTGCTTTGAGCTGGCTATTGCTTCAGTTTGATGCTCAAAGTTGCTGAACAGTTTGTTGTTTTCTGTTTGCTGAACAATTTAGAAGCTAACTCACATGACTTTGTTTGCTGATTGTTGTTGTAATTGTTTTAGGTTTTAGTGTTATTAAATTGATGCATATTATTTAATTGAATTATTAAAATAATCCAAAAATTAATAACTACAAAAGTGTTCACAGGATATCCTACCCGACTTCCTACCCGATTAATTTGGACAGAAGTCGGGTAGGAATACCACACTTGATCAGGAAGGGTAGATCAAGAAAAAAATTCTTCCGTAAAGTATCGGATAGGAAGACAAAAGACCATATTTCCTACCCGTTGGGTAGGGTGAACACCCCTAAGTAGAAGGATGCAATTGAGTTTACAGTAAATAGAACTGCTTGGCTACTTGATTTAATGCAAATGATGCTTAGTCAATGTTGCTACTTAACCTCATAAAGTTTAGCTCGAGGCCAAACCTATATGTTCTCATTGTGAATATCTCAGATCCATATCATATTCAATATAATTTCTCTTTAATTTCTTTTTTAACACATCATCCATTAATAATGAGTGAGGACTCACTTGTATAAAATGGGTTCCACTTAAATGCATATTAGATGATGTGCTAACAAGAAAATTAAAGAAAAAGTGCATTGAAGAAGATCTTATTCTGAATATCTCGTATTTGAGACCTTGTACATATTGTGTTTATATAAATACGTCCATAAATATGAATTTAGTGTCCGAACAAAAAAATTAAAAAAAAAAATGGAGAAAACAACCACTTGGTCATTTAGAACTTTTTTTTCCTGGTCATTTAGAACTAGATCCTTGAGAAAAATTGTTTATAACTTGAAAAACGGACTTTTTTGTCGATTAATTTTTAATAGAAAATAAACACGTGACATGAAAAGTTTTCCAATGATTCAGAATATTCACCTGCTTTGTGAGCATAGTTATCAAATCGTGTATCGGAAGGCGTAACGTATTTTAAAAATAGTATATTGTATCGTGTATCGTAAGATACGGTGCAATTTTAAATAAATAATAATAAAATATAAATACCTTTGAAAAAAAATCATACACTCATAAAAACATAGTATTTCAATAATACTCCACCAACTATTCAAGTCATCAACATAATCCACTACTATTATAATGTAAAGTTCACAACCATAGTTCACTAATTCAAACTTTAAACACCAAAGAGACTTCTAAATTCTAATCCAAATTTCTAACATCCATTTTGAAATCAATCTTCAATTTCAAATTGAAAATGCATCATCATCATCATTGTGATCGGATGCCAACAAGTCTTCACTTCCTTCATCATCTTCAACTTCTTGTATTTGTTCATCCTCATCCTTATCCTCATCTTCAAGTTGAACTATTTGCTTCCCTTTTTTCTTGTTTAAAGAAAGATTTCTAGGCCCTACAAAACAACCAATACAAAATAGAAAAAAATATATTCAAAGTAATGGAGAAGAAGAAAAAACAACCACTATATTTTAGTTATATACTATTTACCTCTCTTTCTCTTTTTGCTAGTCCCTTCTTGAACTTCAAAACATTCACCAACATTCATCCAACTAGTGTCCTCAGGAAGGAGTGCATCTTCTTTTTCAGTGATCCACTCATCATCATATTCCATATTTGAGAGAGAAATAGGATCATAGGAATCACCCTCTAGTATTCTCTTTTGGTGTCTTGCCTCCAATCGAAGATTGTACTTCACAAACACAAGTGCACTTAATCTTTGCTGCTCTAATCGATTTCTCCTCTTAGAGTGCACCTGGTCAAATGTACTCCAATTCCTCTCACATCCTGTGGCACTACAAGTCAAGCTAAGGACGCGGATAGAAAGTTGTTGCAACTCTGGACAACATCCTCCAAATGATTCCCACCATAAGGCTATAAAAAATTACAATAGAATACTACATTAACTAACTTAAGCAATTGCATTAAATGACTAACTTAAGTTAGGTTACCACTAACCAGGTTGTTTCTTCGTCCTCATCTGGATTGCCATGTCCATTCCAAATATCAAATCAACATTATGAAAAATATCTAATTGTTTATCAACTTTTTCTCTCACAATAGGACTTGGGCACATTCTCTGAATAGTCTGATAAAGTCCCATCTTTATCTCATAGTCCGCACTGCCAGTGTAATGAAACCTGAAACAGTTATTTTGATTTACAACGATCATTGATCAGTATACAATATATAGACATAAAATGATATAAAAATTGAGAAACTTCAATCTTACACTGGATTGAGATAATAAGCAGCTGCATGAAGAGGTCTATGTAATTGCATGTTCCATCTAATGTCAACAATAGTCCATATGGGCTCATAGTGCTGCTTCACATTACGAAAATTCTTTTGGATTTGTTCCTTTTCCTTGTCCATTGCCTCATAAATATACCCCATGACAG